GGGGGGGGGGGCTGCACCTTTCCCTGCAGCAGTGCTGGCCTCCGGGCCGGGGGGCTGCGCCTTTCCCTGCAGCAGTGCTGGCCTCCGGGCCGGGGGGCTGCGCCTTTCCCTGCAGCAGTGCTGGTCTCCGGGCCGGGGGGCTGCGCCTTTCCCTGCAGCAGTGCTGGCCTCTGGGCCGGGCTGGGGGGGCTGCGCCTTTCCCTGCAGCAGTGCTGGCCTCCGGGCCGGGGGGCTGCGCCTTTCACTGCAGCAGTGCCTGGCCTCCGGGCCGGGGGGGGGGGCTGCCCTTTCCCTGCAGCAGTGCTGGCCTCCGGGCCGGGGGGCTGCGCCTTTCACTGCAGCAGTGCCTGGCCTCCGGGCCGGGGGGGGGGGCTGCACCTTTCCCTGCAGCAGTGCTGGCCTCCGGGCCGGCTCCCCTCTCGGCTCCTGTCCTCCTGGGAATTCACTCCTTCAATCCCATCGCCCTCTCCTGTGCTACTTGCTACAGGCTGAGAATCCTTTCTCCAAAACACTTAGGACCAGAAGTGTTCCGGCTTTGGAGTGTCTGGCATCCTCTATACAAGGTAAGCAACCCTAACGGGAAGATCTGAAACTGGAAACTTTTTGAAGAGTTTTCTAATTTTGGGAATCTTCGGATTTCTGATTTCCAGGTTCAGGATACTCATTCCGTATTATTATCCCAATGTGACAGAGCCTGGAACTGAGACATAGACTTGTGACACACAAGTGCAGGTTTATCTGGCTGATGATCAGCTGCAGGAGGTTTCAGGGCCAGGCAGGAGAGCCTCTGCAGGGGCAGGGAGTGCTCAGCTGCCCTCCGCACCTCGCCCTGCCCAGCCCTCACCCTCAGGCAAACACGAGCCGCAGACGGAGCCGCGCCGCGCCTTACCCACAGCTCCCCGTTGTAGTAGTAAGCCCCCAGGAGCTTCACGATGTAGGGGTGGTCGCAGGTGGCGAGGATCTCAATCTCCACAATGTAGTCCTCCAGCTCCTCCTCACTCTTGGTCTCAATGACCTTGGCTGCGGCCAAGTCTCCCGTCTCCTTGTTCTTGGCCTGTAAGGTGGAGACACAGAAGGTCAACAAGGCACCAGATCCCCGGAGACCACTCCTGAGTGGGAAACTGAGGCTGGCTCTGCGTGGGAACAAAGTGCAAGCAGAACAGGGCAAGGGCCTGTCAGCCCCACGGTGCATGCAAGACGCGACCTCCGTGCTTCGTAAGCACAAGAAGGGCTAGCTCTGCAAATACCAACATGAGAAGGTTGAACAGGCATGGTTCATGAATCATTTCACACAGAAAGAAGGGCTGGGGTAACTGAGAGAGGCGGGGGAAAGAGAGAATGAAACCAGTCCTAAATAAGTAAATTACAGTGACATTGCTTACTGGCCAAATGTCTGTGCCTCTCTCTCCCTCTCCCTCTCTTCTCCCTCTTCCTCTCTCTCCCTCTCCCTCTCCTCTCTCTCTGTCTCTCTCTCTCTGTGTCTCTGTCTCTCTCTCATTTTGATAAAAACAGAACGAAAACCTTTGCACCTATTAAGCTAGAAGCAAGGACAGAACATAACCAGCGTGGACAGTGAGGGTGCAGCACTTGGGATCCTGAGCACTGTGAGAAGGTGCAGCCACCACGGAAGAGCCCCGGCCCCAGGGGGCTGGTCCTCAGTCAGGGGAGGCAGCCCCCTCACAGGAGCCAGATGTGGACCCACCGAAGCTCAGGTAAGGAATCAACAAAACCTGACAGCCAGCTACAGGGGTATGATTCATCCATTAAAAGGGATGGCGTTCGATGCACGATGAGGCAGGAACAAACCTTGAAAACACCATACTAGTGAATATGACAGGTACAAAGGCCAAAGTCTGTATGAGTCAAACTCAGAGACAGAAACTCAAACAAAGGTTACGGGGGTGGGGAGGAGTGAGTAGAGCTTGGCTGGGAGATAATAAAGTCGGGAATATCAGTGGTACAGACAGCTTACAGCCGGTGAGCTTCTGGGATGCCGTGGAACTGTACACTTACAAAAGGCTAGCGTGATGAACACAGCGCATGCTCCCAGAACTCAAGCAGAAGAAGGAAAGAGACCTAACCTAGCACTCCCACAAGCGAACCCACCCAGCCCCCAGGAGCTCCGGGGAGCCTGAGGCCTGCGGGGCTGGTGCCTGCCCCCCGAGCACCCTGAGGTCAGAGTCCTGTCCAAGCCCAGGGACCTGGCTGACCGGGTTACTGGGCACCACCATGGCATCTTCACTGCCTCCTTCCAGGCCCAGAGGCCACACCCTATGCTGGCCTCCGGGAAATGCGGACGGCTGCCACCGCTCTGTGCTCCCAAGCAGGAGCAGTAGAATGACCCACACGGATGGACCCCAACCAACCCCTGTGCAGAAGATAAACCATAACCTCAGCCAGGATCAACCCTGTGCTGAAGATAAACCATAACCTCAGCCAGGATCAACCCTGTGCTGAAGATAAACCATAACCTCAGCCAGGATCAACCCTGTGCTGAAGATAAACCATAACCTCAGCCAGGATCAACCCCTCTGCTGAAGATAAACCATAACCTCAGCCAGGATCAACCCTGTGCTGAAGATAAACCATAACCTCAGCCAGGATCAACCCTGTGCTGAAGATAAACCATAACCTCAGCCAGGATTAACCCCTCTGCTGAAGATAAACCATAACCTCAGCCAGGATCAACCCTGTGCTGAAGATAAACCATAACCTCAGCCAGAATCAACCCTGTGCTGAAGATAAACCATAACTTCAGCCAGGATCAACCCTGTGCCGAAGATAAACCATAACCTCAGCCAGGATTAACTCTCTGCTGAATATAAACCATAATCTCAACCAGGATTAACCACCCTGCTGAAGATAAACCATAACCTCGGTCAGCGCCGACCCCTCTACTAAAGATAACCCATAACCTCGGCCAAGATCAGTCCCTCTACTGACACAAAGCTAGGCAGCTGTGGAGTGTGGAGACTACACAGGCCTTTAGCACTGACATTAGTCACATTCTCCCATTTCCCAGACAACACTCTAAGGCTTGGAAGTACTGCGCCACCCAACTGGTGTTAACTGAGCCCAAATTAAGAGAAGGACATTCTCCTAGAGAACAAGACAGCCTTCACTTAGGAGAATTTGCTATGGGTCCCACTGCCTTCCCCTAACACAATTCTCCTCCCCTGACTTTTCTTCAACCTGCTCACTCCACCTCCCACTGCAAGGGAGCAAACACCTCACAGCCAATGGTGGGTAGGTGATGCTGACTGGGCGGCCAATCAGAAGACTGCCTTTCCTCAGGGCACAGTGACTAGCTCAAGAATAAGCACATGACCAAGTCTACCAATGAACTAACGTTTAGAACAATGGCTAAAACCACCATGCTGGCTACAAGACAGATGTTTCCCCAGAGGGACTGGAAAAGAAAGAGGCCAGGCTGGCTGGGAGCACAGTCCAACCCCATCCATTTTCGGATATTTTGTATCTAGGAAAACTGCACCTGTAGTTCCAGCTACTTGGGAGGCCGAAGCCAGAGGAGTTCTTGAGCCCCAGAGTGAGGGGGAAGAAAACACAGGCGTTCAGAGGTGAAGTCATCTGCTCAGTCTTAAGGCAGGTAAAGAACAGAGCTAGGAGCCCATGCAGTTTCAAATCCTTTGCACCGGATTTCACCAGAGGTGTCTGTAACTGCTGCAAAAGTCCCGTCTGACCTCACGTTCCCTCTGTGTGGCCAGAGGGTTGGGACTGGAGGAGGGGGCAGGGGTCCTAGGGAGTGAGTTTGGGGGAGGGCGTGGGAGTGAACGGGCAAGGCCTCACATCACAGACAAGGGGCTGTCTGTGGCTGCTGGCCTCTCCCTCCCACTGGCCAAGGCAGGGTCAGGGTCCCGACAAGGGTAAGGGGCTCCTGGCCCAGCCCTCCCTGCCAGCCGGCCGTGACTCACGCCTCGGCCCACACCCTCGACAGCAGACACAGTGTCCACAGTGTTTTCTGGCCCAGGCACCCCGTGGGGACAATCATCCCCTTGTGCAGGCTGGGGCCTGGCCTAGAGGAGGTGGGGCTGGGGCTCAGTCTCCAGCAGAGGGGACCCTCCCCAGCCTAGCTCCCGGCCCCACCCCAGGGCCCAGCCAGCCCACTCAGGGACTGGGGGCTCCCTGAAAACCAGTGGCACCACCGTACCATGGGGACAGGCCCAGGCCTCCTCTTCTGGCTGTCAGCTGACCACTGTGTCCTCCTGTCCTCACAGGAAATAGCTGACATGCCAGGCTCAAGAACTAGAGAACTTTAGCTGCTACCCCCAACTCCGAACCGCAGCCCCCATTCTGAGGTGCAGACACCGAGTCCACTCTGCCCGCCTGAGAGGCGTGGGAAGCGCCCTTGGCCAAGCCTCGCGCTGACCCCACCAGAACCCGCATCCGGCCTGGGAGCCCTAGGAGCTGCCTGGAACAGAATCCTGGGGCACCCATTCCCATTCCTCTTTTTGGATTCAAAACTGCAGTTTTCCTAAAGAACCTCCCCTCTTCTGTGTCCCAGGGGCTCAGGAGGGGTACCATGGCCTCACCCAGGCCCAGGTACAGACTCACCCGCCCTGTCAGTCACTGAACCAAGGCGTCCGGACAACCGCAGAGACCTGGGAGGGTTTCTGTTTCTGATTTTTTTGTATGCTTGCTAGATAGTAGAGAAACAGCTTCTTTCTCTAGGGTGGCTAAGCTGGTAGAACTGGGTTGCTAGGCTGATCAGAGGGTCCTGTCGCCATTCTTTCAGAAAGCCTGCCAGAGAAAGAAGCAGGGCCCACAAAGGGTGGAGAGAGAAGAGAGCTAACAACTCTGTAGGGTGCCCGGACTGGCTGCTCCTGAAGGAAGCTTCCCTTAGACGGTTCCATAAGCCAACAAACCCCCCTGGGGTTCCTACCACATGCCACCAAAAAGCAAATGAATTTCCAGTCTCAAGGCTCCCACAGAGAGCAGGCCAACAAAGGACACCCTGACACTGCCAAGGCCCCCAACGTGTGATCGGGCCCTGGGGGCCGTGCAGAGGCCACACACAGGCCAGCAGAAACCGCAGAGAATCCTGCTGAAGGTGGGGAGGGCCACTTCACATGTAACAGATCAGCAAAGCCAGACAATCACGACAACGCCTGCACATGCTCTGCCCCGGGGCACAACAGGTAAGCTCTTCACAGACTAGAATATGAAATAGCTCCTATCTTCTAAAAGCAGCATTTGGTAATGACTTTACTTTGGTGTGGTTTGGTTTGGGTCTTTGAGAATGGAACCCTATGCAGTTCAACTGCATCCTGAACTCAAGATCCTCCTGCCCAGGTCTCCCAAGTGCTGAGATTACAGATGTGTGTCAAAGCACCCAGCTATTAACAGATTTAAGCCTACTATCCATCATCTCTGGATATTTGAGGCCAAGAAACATTAAAAAACAACAGCAAATGTACTAGAGTATGTTTCCATCAGCCTACTGTACATCAGAAAACAAGGTGCAAATATCCTAAATGTTTACTGGGATACTAAACAATAGTTTAAAACGTTAGATAACAAAATGCAAGGATGAGAAGAAGTAGTTGTTAAGTCACCGTTGCAAATGACCAAGCAGGGCAGTGACGTTGTGGTGGGGTCAGAGCAGGGAGCACCAAGCCGCTGTGGACAGGGCCCAGCCGGGCCCAGAGCGGGCGGACAGGGCCCAGCCGGGCCTAGAGCGGGTGGACAGGGCCCAGCCGACACGGTGGTCATCACAATGGGGACCCCACGGAAGGGTGCAGAAGCAGTCTGCTCACCCCAGAACCACTGCGCTGTCCTGTGTGGCAGCCACCAGCCAATTTAAACAGAAAAGACACGGAGGGAAACGTTTGGTTCGCCCGTCACATTCCCCACGTTTCAAGTGCAGAATAACCACGTATGGGGCAGAGCAGACACTGAAGCTGTTATCCCTGCAGTAAGTTCTGCCCCTTGTCCTCCCTAGGAAGAGAGGCCTCTCCCGGAGGTGAGAGCGCCCCAAAGTCAAATATGAGCATGAGGGCTAGGGGAGACAAGACGATCAGACAGACAGGAGGTGGAACTGGACAGCCAGACTGGTAGGTGACTGGGATTGGAAGGAGGAGGGGAGGCAGGAACAGAAAGAGGCAGAGAGAGAAAA